CATAATTTAACTAAATTATAGAGCTTTTTTTAAAATATTTTCAAAAAAATGCAGTAAAGCAAAAAATTACACAATGTTTCAATTATAAGGCCACTTCAAAGTCTATGTATTTTCATAAAACGGTTATTTATTGAAAAATTGCATGGAATAATTTTCTATTTTCACAAAAATCTCTAAAGTGCAGTATATCGAAGTGTTCTGAATTAAAAAAATTTTCAAAAATACTTCAAAAGAACCGAGGGCTGATCAAAAAATATATACCACAGTAAATGTTTTAATTACGTGACCACCACTGTATATTTCGAAGGGGTCTGATTATGAGATTAAATTTTCAATAGACTATTCGGAATGCTGCAGCATTCCGAATAGTCTGTTTCAAGTTTGCTTTAAATCATGTTAAATAAATAATGTTTGTTCAATTTCATGTCAATGTTCCTTCGAAAAGGCGACGACGTTGAATGTACTTAAAGTGGTGAAAGGTATCATATAGTCGACCCAGTCCGAATTTTCTACTTTCCTTACTGTTTGTGAGAAATTGTGTCGCCTTTGTGATTTTATTGAGACTCAAAACACTAAACAATTTAAAAATTCAACTTCTTCGAATTTGTGTATATAAAAAAAAAAAAAAAACAAAGTACAGTCGAAATCGCTTTTAACGACTGCCAAGGGACTGGCAAATTTTGTCGCTATAAACCACAGCTATATAAAATAAAGTGCAGATTTTTAGGGATTATTGAATACCTTCATTATGACAGATATGTCGTTATAAAGTCCTATTTATAATTTGTGAACCTCAAATAACATAACATAGACCCATTTTCCCTTTAAGAATATACTTTGAATAACTTTTGAGCGATTTAAGCATGTAAGTCAACTCACGCATTTATGAAAGAAATTTGCAGATCGCAGACATTGCAATGAAATGAATTCTAATCACGTCCACTTTTCATTAAGTAGTTTAAACTCAAACGCCAAACATACTGTAACATGTGGTAGCAAAACATTTTTTAACATTTGTTTTTACATCTTTTACTCCTCTTTTTTATAACATTAAAACCGTGCTGCATCCTGTTGAATAAACTTAATGTTAACTTGGTGCGATTTGGGCGTTGTTGTTTTATTGGTTTTTAATGGATGACCGACCCCTACCTAAAACCTTTAAGTCATTGGGTGGTGATTGCGAACGTGCTGTGCGCGATGCAATTGATGTTGGCTATAGACACATCGACACCGCATATTTCTATGAAAATGAACATGAGGTTGGAAAAGCCGTGAAAGACAAAATTGCCGAGGGTGTCATCAAACGAGAAGATATTTTCATCGTTTCAAATGTAATTAAAAATAATGCTGCAAGCTTCAGATTTTCGCTTTTTGTGAATGAGATGTGAAAATGATTTTTTGTTTTATCTTACAGCTATGGTGTCATTTTCATGAACCTGAACGTGTTGAATACGCATGTCGCAAATCGTTGGCAAACTTTGGTTTGGATTATATTGATTTATATTTAATGCATTGGCCCTATTCGTACGTTTATCGTGCGTGATGATGTTATGATGCCAACCAATGCCAAAGGTGATGTTGAATTAAGGTATATAACACTTTTTTGAGTATTTGAAATCTATATATGCCAACTCCGAAATATAATCTGTAAGGAAAGGAGTCCAATCTTGACTAGTGTCATTCTAGACGTAATTCAAAAAGTTATGTGAAATTTACTTGAAAACGGATGTTAATCTAAACTACCAATCTAAATATAAACTGTTTTTGATCAATTGCAATAGGGTATATCCTTGGGCCAATTGATTTAGAAAGCGTTTCAAATATCATCAAAAGTAACTATGTATGTTTCTTGTTTTCTTTTGCATGTTGCAAACAAATGTCAATAATTGATGCTAATAATTTAAATTTCCAATAGAAGACATGATGCCTAATGGATCCTTGCAAAATATATATTCATAGCACATTTTAAATATTTTTTAAATTCAGGATATCACAATGAATTTATGGTTTTTTTAATAAAGGCTAATTTATTTATTACTTTTTTTATTCTCTTTTAAGTGATGTCGATTATTTGGACACCTGGAGAGCTATGGAAAAACTGCTAGAAAAAGGTTTGGTCAAGAATATTGGTGTATCTAATTTCAATTCGGAGCAATTAGCCCGCCTATTGGCTAATTGCAAAATCAAACCAATTCATAATCAAATTGAATGTCATCCCGGTTTAAATCAAAAGTCGTTAATTGCTCTCTGCAAAAAACATGATATTGTTGTAACGGCCTATTGTCCACTCGGAAGACCAGAACCAGCCAAAAAATTACCCGTTTATTTATTCGACGATAAAGTAAAGGCAATTGGTGAAAAAAAAAAATATATATATATAAAAGTCCCGAGCAGGTGGTATTGAGATATTTGGTAAGTAATTGTTATTATTTATTTCCGTGAGAATACATTTATGACATTATTATTTTGCAGTTTGAACTTGGTGCTGTCCCCATTCCAAAGTCCGTTAATAAAAATCGTATCGTTGAAAATTTTAATGTTTTTGATTTTAAACTTTCTCCCGAAGATCATAAGATAATGGATTCATATAATACCGGTGATCGTTTGATTCCCATGGAGCATGCCAAAAAGAGCCCTCACTATCCATTCAATATTGAGTATTGAAAACAATATTCAGAACTTATTTATAATTTCATATTTTAAAAAGAAAGTGCTTTAAATGTGCTTTGAAAAAATAATTAATAAAGCTTAAATGTGCATAAAGAAAATCCAGTACAGATATAATCTACAAAATTAGTACTATAACTAAATTTGATGCTTGCTTAATTAAAAAATCGAATTGGACATAATTTAATCAGGATGCAATTGATTACAATAGATCACTCATCTATTTTCTTCTCGTGGATGATCACAATGGACCTGACGGTCTGAGAGTGCTGCAGCCACATAAGTGACTGCACATCCCCAACTCTAACCTAACCTGTTGTAACAGTTCGGCTGTAATCATATGATTTTCCCTATAGATGTGGTAGAAGTATTAATAATTTGTTCTAATGCGTTCATTACCGTGTGTGGAAAGTGTGTCCGGCCAAGGATTGTCAACTCAGCAACAGCAGTTCAAACTATCTTTAGAAGTTAATTCTACAAACCCATTTGGTAACCATAATGCAAATTTCAGAAATTTTTAATGGATAATTATACCCTCAGCCTTATGGCTAATGAGGGTGTATACATTTGACACGGTGAAAATGTGCATCATCGAAATATTGGTTCTAGACCCCATGTTACTTTGGACCAAATCCGTGTCAGAACATTTTGATTTCATCCAAATTTTGCCCATCTTATTATTTCTTTCAAACTTAGTTCAAGTTTGAAGATGGGGAATATCGGTGCACTCCTTCTGGTACCTCCCACCCAGGGACTAGGCCTAAAATCGAACCTTAGAAGAATTCCACATGGGCCGAAACTCGATCTCTTTTACTGACATTTTGTGTCGATGTTTTTAGTAAAGATAATAGTCCCGTGTTATTTGACCCGGAAATTCGGGTACGGGTACCCGGTTATATCCGGTTCTACGGATCCGGTTAATATAAAATGGGTATCATTATAAAGGTTTTAAAAATACCTTTCCATTATGATGTGGTTATCTTAAACCATTTTGGAGATATAGTCAAAAAACTGGGTTTTGGTCCCCGATTTTTTTTTTTTTTTTTTTTTTTGATTAACTCCATAAAAGTCGAACTTGGGTCCATTATAGCCCCTCTCCAACCCAGACTCTACTGATAGACCACGATTTGCCCTTTACAAAATGGTGCGATATGTGGCTGTATCTGTTGTGGATCAAAAGATATGGGCCTCAGAACCCTATAAAAACAAGGTAAATATTTTTACATGGCAGAATCTCCTTTTAAATAGCATGGTGTTTTTTGAGTGACCGGCCTTCGGCCGGGGATTTAAGACTTTCTCCTATGGACAGATGCCAACACCGGCTATGCGACAGAAACTCCTTCTAAATAGAAATTTTTTTGTAAAACCGGCCTTCGGCCGGGGATTTAAGACTTACTCCTATGGACAGATACCAACACCGGCTACGCGACAGAATCTGTTGTTAAATAGAATATTTTTCGCACCATTTTGGAAAGGGCAAATTGTGGTCTATCATTTGAGTTTGGGTTATCATTTGAGTTTGGGTTTTTACTATATCTCCAAAATGGTTTGAGATAACCTTTTGGTGAACGGCCTTCGGCCGGGGATTTAAGACTTTCTACTATGGACAGATGCCAACACCGGCTACGCGACAGAAACTCCTTCTAAATAGAATATTTTTTTGTGTAGCCGGCCTTCGGGCGGGGATTTAAGACTTTCTCCTATGGACAGATGCCAACAGCGGCTACGCGAAAAATAGTAAACAAATCGGGGCCAAAACCCACCAAAATGGTTTTAGATAACCCTGTCATATTACCACTCATTGGAAAGGTATTTTTATAACCTTTAAAATTATACCCATGTTATTAACCGGATCAGTAGAACCGGATATAACCGGGTACCCGTACTCGAACTTCCGGGTCAAATAACCGGGTAACCGGGTACGCCCCCAAGAAAAAAATATATCCCCATAATAAGGGTAAAAATACCTACCTCTGGAAAAAATTTCAGAAAAATCTGATCGTTTTTACTAACCTAGAGTTAAGCCCAAACCTTTGCTTGGAAAATATTTTAAATTGTGGCTCAAAGGAAATCAACGCCGCATCATTACACACAGAGTATAGTGGTAAGTCTTCTCTCAATGTTGTGCTCTCGTGAGTAGAACTATTTTGAAGTCCAAAAAAAGCTTTTTTTCGCGAGCGATATCTGTTGAATAGATTTAGTTTTAGTATTTGTTGTCATTTCTTTAAGTAGGTATTGTTTGTCCACGGGCGACAACACTTCTTGAAACTTCTACAGAACTAACTGGAAATAAATATCATCCTCTTTACCGCAGTTTCTATTTCGGCAAAAGACAATTTTCAACTAATTGCAGTAAAATGGCTCCAGTTTTGGCACCAAAAGTAAAATTGAACAATGGTTACGAAATGCCTATTTTGGGTTTGGGAACGTATAAGGTAAGTTGTGATTTTTATATTATGATGTATGTATTTGCATATTTGCTTATATAGACGCCCTTCAATGTTACATTTCATGTAAAATTTTTGGTTGATTTATTTATAAATTTGTTTTTTAATTGCTTTCAATTCCTTTCAAAGCAAATGGAAATTATAGCGAAACCGGCATCAACGGCATCAAAGCCTTGATCGGCATTTTTTACTTAGCGTGGTTTTATATTTGTCGGGATCGAGATCGGTGTTGAGAGTTTCTCTCTCTTGAGAGAGTAATTAGAGTTGCGCTATTTTTAATTTTGTAATAAGCGTACTTTTTCTTCACAAAAGTTACGAAATTATATAAACGTACCAAAACAAAAATAGATTTTTTTATTATTTGTGAATACATTTACGCTTAAATTATAACATATATTATTTATGCAAATAACTGGTATAAATATTGGCCAATATTTCTCAATAATTATGATTTGAAGTAGAATTTTAGGTACCTTTTCGTACTTTTTTGTTCCTACCTGTGGTAATGTTTTCCAACACAAATCACAATTTACCACTGAGAGAGAGAGAAACTCTCAACACCGATCCCGATCCCGACAAATATAAAACCACGCTTATCAAATTTCCAGTGTTACCGTATTATGAAATTTCAATCAAAAACAGTGGTAGTATGCAAATGCTATGTTTACATTCGACATTTTATACTTTCCAACATAAGGTGATGTGTATATTAAATTTGTCATTCCGTTTGCAACACATCGATATATTCACCGGGGAACCCGTAAAGTAGGGGAGAGGGGGCACCTTTGAACAGCGCTCATAAAATCTTGGATTACATTTTATCCGACCCGCTACCACATTTTTGTATATGGCAATCTTGTTATTTATATGCGTAAACCACTTTGGCTAGCTTTTTCAGTTGTCGACAAATTGTACATGGGTGACCATATTTTCGCAGTGTAATTGTAAACTTTTATTCTTTTGGTTTTTTTTTGGATTATACATTTCCGTCAAATGCCACGAGCGGAGTTTTTAACTTTTGGCTTCGATTTCTCAAAATTTCAAATGGGATAATAACAGTACGTTTACATTTAACCGGATTTCGTTAACCCAGTGGGTTTCAATTGTCATTTCATATATGTCAAATAAATCCTCATAAAGTAGGTTAACCCGGTAAAAAGTTCTAATGTACAAGGAGTTTAAGACTACGAAATTAACTGTATTTTTCACCATATTAATTTTTGTTTTTATGTCATTTTATGTTTTAATAAATTTTGATCTGAATTTTTTAATTTTCAAAAATTTTTTGAAATTTTTTTTTAATAAATAAATGCATTTCTGATATGTTTGAATAAAATACAGTTATATTTTAACATAAACACTGTATAAAAACCAAGCTTTGACTTCCTTAAAACAGCAATAAAATATTTATATCAAGCTTAAAGCATGTCATATCTATATTCTATGTAAATGTTACATATCTACCTATTAGTTAAAATTTATAAATTTATAAGATAAGAAACCAAAAATTATAAAATAAAAAATTTTATGAGGCTCGAAAGCAAAAAGTGTTCAAAGGTGCCCCCTCTCCCCTATATATATATTCTCGGTCAGAATATAGTTCTATGCCGTTGAAATCATGATTCGACATTTTATACCCTCCAACATAAGGTGATGTGTATATTAAATTTTGTCATTGCGTTTGCAACACACCCATATATTCACCGGGGAACCCGTAAAGTATATATATCGCAATATTTGAGAGCTTTGTAAATGCGGTATATCAGTCCATATTTTGGTATAGCCTATATAATGGTAGCCCCAAATATTCGGTATTATGGGGATTTTTTTACACATTTTTTAACGGAATTGACATACAGAATCAGCTTAATTATACATTTTTTATTCACATTGGTATGTTGGAGAGCTTTTTCTCGTATTTCAACCAATTTGGGAGCAAATAATATTTTTGGTATTCTCATTGAATAGAAAATCTCCTTACCAAAATTTTGTCAACATTGGCCAATGTATTATTATTCGGTATTTTTGGCTGTTTTTGGGCACATTTTTAACCGAATCAGCTCTAAAATGATTTTTCAGGTTTCGTTGGGTGTCAGCTCTTTCTACTAAAAATGATCATTATTGTTTCAATTTTTAGGAAAATCCCCCCATATACGGCATCATATCCGAATTTCGGTTTTTAGGGGAGTTTGAACAAGTGCTTCTCATTGAGTAGGAAATCTCCTTACCAAAAATTATCAATATTGGTCCAATAAAATGGTACACCCATCATTCGGAATTTTGGGAGGTTTTTGGCATGTTTTTAACCGAATTCAGACTAATTGGATTTATCAAATTTTTATGGGGTTTCAAATCTTCCTACTAAAAATTATCAACATCAGTTTATGGTTTGGTATAGCTCCCATTCTTTTTTTCGTATTTTGTAGACTTTAGCCATATTTTCCAACCGATAATTTGGTATAAAGGGTTCTGGAAGGCAGACAAATTCGTGTGGTGTACATGTAGGTCCAAGCTTTTATATTAATAAATTTAAGTGTCTGTAATTTGGAACAGTATTTTTGGAGAATGAACATAGTCCCCATATAAAAGTCCCGATCGACTTAAGGAACTTAAAATGTTCGACCCGGCCGAAGTTAACGACGTTCTTACTTGTTTCCATTACATATAGTCAATTTACATAAGTTGAATAAAGCAGCTGAACTTAGATCTATAGATGGTACAATTTGTGAATTGTAATGAAATATAAGCCACTAAAAATAGGTGTCTTCAAAAAACCTTTCAAAATAAAAACCATTGGGGATTATATTAAGGTTTCTACCTCAACTCCATACCATAACTCCATCTCCTGCCTGCTTAACCGTTGAAGGAAGATTTTCTTTATTTAGCACAATAATAAACTTTCGTCGAACTATATATATATATATATATATATATATGATTTTGGTTGCCGTAATTTAGTGATTTTCTGTTACTGAGGCTAAATAGTGCTCTTCTCCAGTTCCAGCAAAGGGTAGCCAAACATCTTCGAAGTGCTACGAATTCAGCTATTGTGTCACGCTTTATTCAAAAAAATAAATACAATTGTGTGATGTAATGCCGAAAAATGTTGTTTGGCTTTAGCGATTTGTTGATAATGGTTCTGGAAGATTTTGACATCAATCCGCTCCTTTATGTCTTTAATATTAATTTAATTCTTGGCGGGATAAACTTAAGTTAATTTTTTACTTGCACGTTTTAATGTTACGAGAACAAAATATGAAATCCAATTCAATTTCTATACTTAAAGCTGAAGAAATCTAAATGCGAAAATGCTGTACGTGAAGCTCTGAATATAGGTTATCGTCATATTGATACAGCATTTCTCTACCGCAATGAAAACATTATCGGACGTGTCCTAAAGGAGCACATTGAACAGAAACGTATTGAGCGTGAAGAGATATTTTTGGTTACCAAATTGTGGAATATTCACCATGAACCACATAGTGTAAAATATGCATGCCGTAAACAGATGGAAGCTTTATGTGTTGATTATATACATTTGTATCTTATGCATTCGCCCATTGGATATAAATATGTGGATGACGAAGCATTAATGCCTCACGAGGATGACAAAGTACAAACAAAGTATGTTTTGTATAGTTACCAAAGACTTGTGAAAAAAAGTAATTTGTTCTTTAATTTCAAGTGATGTTGATTATGTTGAAACATACAAGGCCATGGAGGAATTAGTCAAAATCGGATGGGTGCGTAGTTTAGGATTATCCAATTTCAATATATCACAAATGCAAAGAATATTGGATAACTGTACAATAAAGCCTGTAACAAATCAAGTGGAATGTCATCCGGCTCTGAATCAATTGAAATTAAGAGAATTTTGTTCGAACATAATATCATAGTGACGGCCTATTCGCCTTAGCTAGACCAAAGCCTACGAAGCCATTGGCTATATTTTATCAATTAATGGAATTACAACAAATTGCCGACAAATATCAAAAGTCTAAAGCTCAAATTGTTCTAAGATATTTGGTAATCTTAAACCCCTCTAGCATTTTGTTATAAATTCAAATAATGTATGATTGATATTCTTACAGATTGACATAGGCACAGTCCCCATACCAAAATCTGCGAAATCGGAGCGCTTAATTGAAAACATTGATATTTTTGATTTTCAATTAAATAAAGAAGAAATTAATGTTATAAATAATTTCAATAACAATTTACGTTTGTGGCGCAATGAGATGACCAGTTTTCATCCTTATTGGCCATTCAATGAAGCCTGAATTATGCATAGTTTATATTACTAATTAGCGAATAATGTATAAAATTTAATTAATAAATACTTAGAGCTATTATAATATTAAACAACTGTATTTTATTGTACTTAAATATATGTATACTTCTCCGCCAAATATAATATTTTATGAAAATATTTGAAGAGGTTTTAGGTATAAGACATTCTTAAAGACTGAATGCAGGATTTTGAATTATATAATATAATTATATTATCAATTAAATGATTAGTTAATATTTGAAATGCAATTTTCTTCTAATTTATCTTATAGTCCAAAAATAATGAAGGAGAAATTGCTGTTAAACATGCCATAGATGTTGGCTATCGTCACATTGATACGGCTTATTTCTATCAAAATGAAGCTGAAATTGGTAAAGCCATTAGAGATAAAATTGCTGAAGGTGTTGTAAAAAGAGAGGACATATTTTTGGTGACCAAGGTAATGATATTTTTGTAAAATCACAAGCTAATTGTTATTTAATGTAATATTCGTCGTTGTAGTTGTGGAATATTCACCACGAACCTGAACGTGTCGAAGGTGCATGTCGCAAACAACTGGAATTACTTGGCTTAGATTACATTGACTTGTATCTTATGCACTTGCCCGTGGGTTACAAATATGTAAACGAAGAAAGTCTCTTGCCCAAGAATGAAGATGGTGTCTTGCAGTTATCGTAAGTTGTTTACATCACAAAATATTCTTGTAAAATATTATAATGTATAAATTTAAATTTCTTAGTGATGTCGACTATTTGGACACATATAAAGCCATGGAGAAGCTAGTAAAACTTGGCTTGGTACGTAGCATTGGTGTATCCAATTTCAATAGTGAACAATTGCAAAGAGTTTTGGATAATTGTGAAATTAAACCAGTAACCAACAAAGTGGAATGCTCGCCCGCATTAAATCAACGTAAATTAACGCAATTCTGTAAAGAACGTGATATTACCCTTACAGCCTTTTCACCACTTGGCCGGCCAAAACCTTATAAAAAGAAGCCAGAATTTTACTATTCAGATAAAACCAAGGCGTTGGCTGATAAATACAACAAAACTCCCGCACAAATTATTTTGCGTTATTTGGTATGGTAGAAACGTAATTAATTAATTTATAAATAGACATATTTAATATTTAATTTGGTACTTTTTAGGTTGATATTGGTGTTATTCCCATTCCGAAATCATCTAATCGCAAACATATTGAAGAAAATTTCAATATTTTCGATTTCAAATTGTCACCAGAAGATATTGCCGTTATGGACACATTCCATACTGGTGAACGTTTGGTGCAATTTAATTTAATCAAGGCACAAAATCATAAATACTGGCCACTCAGCATTGAATTTTAAAGATTGTTGTACAAATTATTTAAGTCATTTCAAATGTGTATATAATACATCGATTGTATTCAGAATAAAATTGTTATTTCAATAAATATTAAAAAAATGCAATGAGTAAGTGGGAGGGGACCGATGATTATGTTACCGTACATTATGTTAAGGGCTTGTAACTTTACATACATGTATTTGAAGACATAAAAAGGAAAAAATAAATTGCAAAAATATTTTTTTTTTTTTTAATTAATGAAAATTCATTCTTTTAGACGTAGTGAATTAGTTATTAATTTCTCTTTCGAGATGAGCTACATGATCGGAGTTGCAATGAAAAGGAAAGCCAGAGAGATACTGCATTCCCACCACTATGCGACGCGTTTCGCCATATGGGGCAATGTGCCTTACAAATGTCTTTACTTGATAAGTTATATTTATGTCAAATATTGTTGCGAAATTGCATTTACGAATTAAATTCAACCGTGTCAAGGTTCGGACGTTTGGCATCACACCAGAACATTCCTTTTCAGAGCAGATGTTTCTTGTAGTGACGGACTTTTTTCCATACAGACTACTCTGGTATGAGCTAGGATTATTGACATCGCTCGATAATTTGCAAAACAGCAGACCTATTTTTTGGAAAATACGATATTTTCGACAAAACGTCAAGCTGGAAAATGTGGAAGATCTTGACAGATTACATTTATTCTAGTTTTTGAGTTATCGTGTCCGCCATCCGTAGAAACACTGTTTTGAGAAAACCACTTTTAAAGTTTGAGAATCTCTTGATGCTAACAGAATAAATCGGCTATATATTCACGAGTAGTTGAGATTTTCACTCGGAATTTTTAGGTTCAATTTAAATAAAAAAAATCAATTTTTTGAAACCGAGAATGAGTGGCACTGTCCATATCGGAAATTATATCAAAATTAAGAAACGATCTACTAGAGTTTTTTTCAGTCGTTTTTTATGGCAGGTACCTTACAAGGATCATATTAACATGCCTTGATAATAATTGTTATTACAACATTATGGGGAATACAATTAGTTTGTTAAAAAAACGTACTTACTTGTATACACTATACACAGAAACATATGTAATTACTATGTATTTAAGCAAACAGACTATTCCGCCACCATAATAGTTTATTACCAGGCTTCATATTTTTACGGAAATCCAATTTATGCTTACATACATATTAAAGTTACATTTGTGTTTGTTTCCATGAATAATTGGAAATTCATATTATATTTACGTACACCGGTGAAAACCAATCCTTTTATCTATCTTTTATTTTTAATATGTCTGATCCATAACCCATAAGAATGTACAAATGTTTACTACAATAACAATTATTCTTGATATATTTATTTATTTTATATTTCATGTTGCCCAGAGTAAAGTGATTGACTGACTGACTGATTTAACGATTCATCAACGCCCAGACAAAACGGCTGAAGCTAGAATCTTGACATTTTGGGTGAGGGTCACTCTTGGCCCAAATGTGACGGATAAGGCTGGGTTTTGGAAATTCGTACTAGAAGGGTACGAAAAGTACTAAAAAGTACTAAATATGATATCATTTGTATTTGGCGAACCAGTAGAGCTAGAACTCTGAAATTTGGATTGAGGGTCACTGATGGAGTGTAGGACAGATGTACCAAAGGGTTTTTGGAAATTCGAACTACAACTATCTGAAATGTACGAAAATGTACTAAATTTGGTACAATTCTGTAGCATGAAAACGGATAGAGCTAAAAACTTGAAATTTGGAATGCGAATTAGGGTTGGGAAGTAGGGTCGATATAAGGAGATGGTTTTGAAACCGTGTACTCATGTGTACGAAAAGTACTATATGGTACTATATTTGGTACAAATTTGATTTGGAGGTACAAATGGAGCTGGAATCCTGAAAATTGAAAGTAACATTACCGTCGGAGTATAGGATTGTGATATGTACGTAGTTTTGGAAATTTGTTACTTATGTGTACGAAAAGTACTAAATCGTACTATAATTGGTACAATTTGGATTTGGGTGAACCGATAGAGCTGAAACAATGAAATTTGGAGTTAGGATCATTTTAGGGGTGTAGGATTGGGGTCAGGACTCAGTTTAAGACATTATTACTTATGGGTACTAAATGGTACTAAATTTGGTCAGGATCACTGTCGACGTGTAAGATTGATATATGCAGGAAGTTTTCAAATTTTGTACTTATGTGTACTAAATTTGGTACAATTTGAATTGTGGTTGAACCGATACAGTTGGAATCCTGAAATTTAGATTTTGGAGCACTGTGGGGGTGTTGGTTTGGGTTCAGTTGGAAGTTTTTGAAATTCGTACTACTGTGTACTAAATTTGGTACAATTTGTATTGTGGGTGAACCGATAGAGTTTGAATCCCGAAACATGGATTTATGATCACTGTGGGGGTGTATGAATGGGGTGTGAAGGAAGTTTTGGAAAGTTGTAATAATGAGTAACAAATTTGGTACAATTTGAATTGTGGGTGAACCAGTACAGTTTGAATCCTAAAACTTAGATTTAGGATCACTGTGGGGTGTTAGTTTGGGTTAAGTAGGAAATTTTGGAAATTCGTACTACTGTGTACTAAATTTGATACAATTTGGAATGTGGGTCAACCGATAAAGTTGGAATCCTGAATCTTCAATTTAGGATCAATGTGGGGGTGTAGGATTGGGGTATGTAGGAAGTTTTGGAAATTGGTACAACTATGTACTAAATTGGGTAGACTTTGAATTATGGGTGAACCAATAGTTTTTTGAAACCGAGAATGAGTGGCACTGTCCATATCGGAAATTATATCAAAATTAAGAAACGATCTACTAGAGTTTTTATCAGTCGTTTTTTATGGCAGGTACCTTACAAGGATCATATTAACATGCCTTGATAATAATTGTTATTACAACATTATGGGGAATACAATTAGTTTGTTAAAAAAACGTACTTGCCAAGGTATACACTATACACAGAAACATATGTAATTACTATGTATTTAAGCAAACAGACTATTCCGCCACCATAATAGTTTATTACCAGGCTTCATATTTTCACGGAAATCCAATTTATGCTTACATACATATTAAAGTTACATTTGTGTTTGTTTCCATGAATAATTGGAAATTCATATTATATTTACGTACACCGGTGAAAACCAATCCTTTTATCTATCTTTTATTTTTAATATGTCTGATCCATAACCCATAAGAATGTACAAATGTTTACTACAATAACAATTATTCTTGATATATTTATTTATTTTATATTTCATGTTGCCCAGTCTTTCCACCTTAAGGCTGTAAGCTACATTTCACAATCTATACTAATAAAAGAGTAAAGTGATTGACTGACTGACTGATTTAACGATTCATCAACGCCCAGACAAAACGGCTGAAGCTAGAATCTTGAAATTTTGGGTGAGGGTCACTCTTGGCCCAAATGTGACGGATAAGGCTGGGTTTTTGGAAATTCGTACTAGAAGGGTACGAAAAGTACTAAAAAGTACTAAATATGATATCATTTGTATTTGGCGAACCAGTAGAGCTAGAACTCTTAAATTTGGATTGAGGGTCACTGATGGAGTGTAGGATAGATGTACCAAAGGGTTTTTGGAAATTCGAACTACAACTATCTGAAATGTACGAAAATGTACTAAATTTGGTACAATTCTGTAGCATGAAAACGGATAGAGCTAAAAACTTGAAATTTGGAATGCGAATTAGGGTTGGGAAGTAGGGTCGATATAAGGAGATGGTTTTGAAACCGTGTACTCATGTGTACGAAAAGTACTATATGGTACTATATTTGGTACAAATTTGATTTGGAGGTACAAATGGAGCTAGAATCCTGAAAATTGAAAGTAACATTACCGTCGGAGTATAGGATTGTGATATGTACGTAGTTTTGGAAATTTGTTACTTATGTGTACGAAAAGTACTAAATCGTACTATAATTGGTACAATTTGGATTTGGGTGAACCGATAGAGCTGAAACAATGAAATTTGGAGTTAGGATCATTTTAGGGGTGTAGGATTGGGGTCAGGACTCAGTTTAAGACATTATTACTTATGGGTACTAAATGGTACTAAATTTGGTCAGGATCACTGTCGAGGTGTAAGAACTTTATTGAAGTTGTTGCAACTATAATAGGAGCTATATCTATATCTGAACAGATTTCAACAAAATTTGCCACGCGTTATGTTATAGTAACTTCAGTACGTTGTGCAAAATTGTTTGCCAATCGGACCCACCTGGGGAGTTTAATGCACCATTTATATCTAACTTCTAGGCTATACTAACTTCAGTACGTTGTGCAAACGTACTGACACGTTTTGTGTCAATCACCCTAGATTTGGGTTTTTGGTGCTCTATTTACCTAAAATCGGACGAAAATATATATGTAGAAGCTATATCTAAATCTGAATCGATTTCAACCAGACTTACCAAAGATTAATTTAGATAAACTTCAGTTCATTGTACAAGATTGTATGGCAATCGGGCAAGCATTGGGTCGTAAGTGCACAATAAAATCGGAAGAAAATATATATAGGAGCTATATCTAAATCTGAACCGATTTTTACAAAACTTAACACATATCATTCTAGACTTAATTTAGTGCGCTATGCCAAATTTTGTGCAAATCGAATGATATAAGGGGACTTTGGTACACCATTTACACTAAATCGGGCGAAATATATATGGGAGCCGATTTACAGGAAACTTAACACGCATCATTCTAGACTCAATTCAGTACGCCATGCCAAAATTCGTGCAAATCAAAAAATTTGCAGGGACTTTGGCGCACTATTTACCTAAAATCAGACGAAACTATATATGGAAGCTATATCTAAATCTGAACCGATTTTTACGAAACTTAGCACACATCATTCTTAATTTAGTGCGCTATGCCAAATTTCGTGCAAATCGAAACATATATTGGGACTTTGGTGCACCATTTACATTAACTCGGGAGCTATATCTAAATCTGAACCGATTTTTACGAAACGACATTACACAATTCACATTAAATCGGACGAAAATATATATGGGAGCCATATATAAATCCGAACAACTTTTTTCCAATTTCAATATGGTTCGTCCTTGGGCCGAATAAGTAACCTGTGCCAAATTTCATTCAATTCGGATCATAAATGCGACCTGTACTTTGTTTACAATTTAACATGAGCAGACAGGCGGACGGACGGACTTGCATAAATCAACTTAGAAAGTGATTCTATGCATATTCTGAAAAGGAACCATGTGTCTATCTCGTTTCCATTTGCATGTTACAAACATATGCACAAACACATAATACCCACCACGAAGTCCCTTTTTAGAAAACGTAAAACAAACATTTTATTTAGTTTCATAACACATAAACATTTTCAAGCCACTATATTTTAAATCGCTTTTCAAATTTTAATTGTTCTAAAATTATGTATATTGTTTCATCCATGTCTGTTTCAAAGAGCTCTTAAAGTGTAGCGGCACAAATAATAGAAATAAGCCTAAAGGGGTTTGCAGAATGGATCCGTTAAGCGTAACGCGGTCATTGTGCGGACCCATTAACAAACTATTTCAACTCATTTTTTTGTCAGAGTGACAAGGTGTATTTTTATAATATAATAAGATATGGCAACTTTGAGAATATTGGATATCAAAAGCTTTTTTATACTGAGAAAGCCTTTTGAAATGTAATTCAATTTCATTCAAGAACACATTCTCAACAATTTCAATTGTTTTGGTTTTCTGTGACAGTAAGCAACAGTTGTTTGCCAAAGCATCATCAATTAGCCGGCAGGTAATGGTGGCGGGCAGTATATTTTCCTATTCAAACCTACTTACATACATAAATTAGATTTTTTTTTAAATAATATATTAATACGGTGTTAATTTCATGCGATGAAATAGAAATAGACAACAAAATATTTGTGGCGTTTGTTTAATTTTAAAGATTTTAAATTCGATTTGATTTCAATATGTATAAGTTCGTTCTGAATTTAATTTCTACTTTTTTTAATTTTAGGACATTGAACAAACATTCCACAAAGATGAGCACCCCGAAAGTTCCCTATGTTACCCATAATAATGGCAGCAAAATGCAAGCAATCGGATTGGGCACCTATACTGTAAGTAAATACGAAAATATATGGTCAATAAAATGCATTTTTAAAACCTTCTTACTAGAAAGTGTCAATGTTTACGATCAATTGTCGCTTGTCGTTTCCACCACTAGTACTGCACCCAAAGTCAAAAGGCATATAATTACAGATTAATAAACTATTCAATTAATATGTGGCGCTCTTCAAGAAAGATAGTAAATTTGTATTCTAGTTGCGATAATTCTTATCTTATAAGTTGTATATGTGTGTATGAAGATGTTTTCCACTAGACTATCAGATGTTGTGAGCATGATTATCTCAAAAGAATGTACAGTGAAAGAGATTCGCATTGTTATTGTTTATAAAATCGAACGGCCGGTCGCAAACCGTATTTAAATTTTTATGACGCTTTTTGTACTATGTATGCATATATTCTTGATCAGAACACAATTATATACAGATTTACCCATGCCCGTCCGTTATAATTTGCATATACATTACTGCTACTCCTAAGATGTTTACTATTGAAAATGAGATATTTCGATACACGTTTTTGTATAGACCCCATATAACGTTAACTCCCAAATATTTGGTATCATGGTCTGTAATTTAGTATTTCGAATTCTCATTGGGTAGCAATTTAGGTTAGACCCCCTATAATGATAGCTCCCAAATTTTGTCATTTTGGGAAGTTTGAGCATGTTTTACGGCCAAATTAGCTGTTGAATTCCCATTGGTTTGCACATATTTCCGTCGAAAATTGTCGATATTGGTCCACTTTTTAGCCCCCATTGTTGCCGCCATATAAAAATGTGTATCGATCATAAGTAGTATGAATGTCCACCTAATGGTGGAGGGTATAAAAAGATCGTTCCGGTCAAAATCAATAATCATGGATGATTAGGATATGAAAAGTGAATTGTCAAAACCTGAAGTCTAATATTGGAGTTCGACATATGTATCTTCGGAATTGCTCTTTTTATGCCCTTCCCCACACTGTGGTGCATACGACTGTAAAAGGCAAAAGGAAATGGGATAGACACATGGTTTGTTTTGGGAATATGCATAGAATCACTTTATGCGTCGATTTATGTGTGTCCGTTTGTCTGTCTGTCCATGTTAAATTATAAACAAAGTACAGGTCGCAGTTATGATCCGAATTGGGTGACATTTGATACAGCTTTCGATTTGCACAAAATTTTTCATAGCGTACTGAATTAAGTCTAGAATGATGTGTGTTAAGTTTCGTGAAAATCGGTTTAGATTTAGATATAGCTCCATATATATTTTCGTCCGATTTTAAGTAAATGGTGCACCAAACTCCTAAAGTTTGTCCTACAACTTTGTACAATGTATCAAGTTGAGACTAGAATGACGTTGTTGCGTTTTGTTGAAATTGTTGCAGATGAAAACATAGCTTCCATATATATTTCGAAGGGGTCTGATTGTGAGATTAAATTTTCAATAGTGCAGCATTACGAATAGCCTGTATCAAGTTTTCATTAAATCATGTTAAATAAATAATGTTTGTTCAATTTCATGTCAATGTTCCTTCGAAAAGGCGACGACGTTGAATGTACTTAAAGTGGTGAAAGGTATCATATAGTCGACCCAGTCCGAATTTTCTACTTTCCTTACTGTTTGTGAGAAATTGTGTCGCCTTTGTGATTTTATTGAGACTCAAAACACTAAACAATTTAAAAATTCAACTTCTGCGAATTTGTGTATATAAAAAAAAACAAAGTACAGTCGAAATCGCTTTTAACGACGGTCAAGGGACTGGAAAATTTTGTCGCTATAAACCACAGCTATATAAAATAAAGTGCAGATTTTTTAGGGATTATTGAATACTTTTATTATGACCGATATGTCGTTATAAAGTCCTATTTATAATTTGTGAACCTCAAATAACATAGACTGCAAGAATCTACTATTTTTTACTCCGATAACACTTTTTTCCTTTATGATATCGAAAAAATAGTAAAATCGAGTAGATTCTTGCAGTACGGGAAAAGACCATTTGAATAACTTTTGAGCGATTTAAGCATGTAAGTCAACTCACGCATTTATGAAAGAAATTGCAGATCGCCGACATTGCAATGAAATGAATTCTAATCAACTCAAACGCCAAACAAACTCTAACATGTGGTAGCAAAACTTTTCTTAACATTTGTTTTTACATCTTTTACTCCTCTTTTTTATAACATTAAAACCGTGCTGCATCCTGTTGAATAAACTTAATGTTAACTTGGTGCGATTTGGGCGTTGTTGTTTTATTGGTTTTTAATGGATGACCGACCCCTACCTAAACCCCTTAAGTCATTGGGTGGTGATTGCGAACGTGCTGTACGCGATGCAATTGATGTTGGCTATAGACACATCGACACCGCATATTTCTATGAAAATGAACATGAGGTTGGAAAAGCCGTGAAAGACAAAATTGCCGAGGGTGTCATCAAACGAGAAGATATTTTCATCGTTTCAAAGGTAATTAAAAATAATGCTGCAAGCTTCAGATTTTTGCTTGTGCTGTTTATGGATGCAAATTGTGAATGAGATGTGAAAATGATTTTTTGTTTTATATTACAGCTATGGTGTCATTTTCATGAACCTGAACGTGTTGAATACGCATGTCGCAAATCGTTGGCAAACTTTGGTTTGGATTATATTGATTTATATTTAATGCATTGGCCCTATTCGTACGTTTATCGTGGTGATGATGTTATGATGCCAACCAATGCCAAAGGTGATGTTGAATTAAGGTATATAACACTTTTTTGAGTATTTGAAATCTATATATGCCAACTCCGAAATATAATCTGTAAGGAAAGGAGTCCAATCTTGACTAGTGTCATTCTAGACGTAATTCAAAAAGTTATGTGAAATTTACTTGAAAACGGATGTTAATCTAAACTACCAATCTAAATATAAACTGTTTTTGATCAATTGCAATAGGGTATATCCTTGGGCCAATTGATTTAGAAAGCGTTTCAAATATCATCAAAAGTAACTATGTATGTTTCTTGTTTTCTTTTGCATGTTGCAAACAAATGTCAATAATTGATGCTAATAATTTAAATTTCCAATAGAAGACATGATGCCTAATGGATCCTTGCAAAATATATATTCATAGCACATTTTAAATATTTTTTAAATTCAGGATATCACAATGAATTTATGGTTTTTTTAATAAAGGCTAATTTATTTATTACTTTTTTTATTCTCTTTTAAGTGATGTCGATTATTTGGACACCTGGAGAGCTATGGAAAAACTGCTAGAAAAAGGTTTGGTCAAGAATATTGGTGTATCTAATTTCAATTCGGAGCAATTAGCCCGCCTATTGGCTAATTGCAAAATCAAACCAATTCATAATCAAATTGAATGTCATCCCGGTTTAAATCAAAAGTCGTTAATTGCTCTCTGCAAAAAACATGATATTGTTGTAACGGCCTATTGTCCACTCGGAAGACCAGAACCAGCCAAAAAATTACCCGTTTATTTATTCGACGATAAAGTAAAGGCAATTGGTGAAAAATATAACAAAAGTCCCGCACAGGTGGTATTGAGATATTTGGTAAGTAATTGTTATTATTTATTTCCGTGAGAATACATTTCTGACATTATTACTTTGCAGATTGAACTTGGTGCTGTTCCCATTCCAAAGTCCGTTAATAAAAATCGTATCGTTGAAAATTTTAATGTTTTCGACTTTAAACTTTCTCCTGAAGATCATAAGATAATGGATTCATATAATACCGGTGATCGTTTGATTCCCATGGAGCATGCTAAAAAGAGCCCTCACTATCCATTCAATATTGAGTATTGAAAACAATATTCAGAACTTATTTATAATCTCGTATTTTAAAATGAAAGTGCTTTAAATGTGCTTTAAAAATACAATTAATAAAGCTTAAATGTATATAAAGAAAATCCAGTATATGTACATATAATCTAGAAAATTAGTACTATAACTAAATTAGATTCTTGCTTAATTAAAAAAAAAAATCGAAGTGGACATACTTTAATCAGGATGCAATTGATTACTATAGGTCTCTCATCTCTTTTCTTCTCGTGGATGACCACAATGAAACTGACGGTCTGAGAGTGCTACATCCACATAAGTGACTACACATCCCCAACCCTAACCTAACCTGTTGTAACAGTTCGGCTGTAATCATATGATTTTGGCTATAGATGTGGTAGAAGTATTAATGCGTTCATTACTGTGTGTGGAAAGTGTGTCCGGCCAAGGATTGTCAACTCAGCAACAGCAGTTCAAACTATCTTTGGAAGCTAATTCTACAAACACATTTGGTAACCATAAAACAAATTTCAGAAATTTTTAATGGATAATTATACCTTCAGCCTTATGGCTAATGAGGGTGTATACATTTGACACGGTGAAAATGTGCACCATCGAAATATTGGTTCTAGACCCCATATTTCTTTGGACCAAATCCGTTTCAGAACATTTTGATTTCATCCAAATTTTGCCCATCTTATTATTTCTTTCAAACTTAGTTCAAGTTTGAAGATGGGGAATATCGGTCCACTCCTTTTGGTACCTCCCACCCAGGGTCTAGGCCTAAATGCGGGTTATAGTTCGTTATCGAACCTTAGAAGGAATGGCAATGATATGCCCCGTGCTGCTAAAATTTACTATCTTGTCGATGCATCATCTGCAACTTGTAAGAATGTTACATTTTTTATTACGATTACATATTTTCCTTTATTATATCGAAAAATAGTAAACATTTGGTCTGTTCCCTTACTGCAAGAATCTACTCGATTTTACTATTTTCTTCGATATCATAAAGGAAAATTCGTTATCGGAGTAAAAAGTAGTAAATTCTTGCAGTACGGGAACATACCAATTAGTAGGTTCTGACAATACGGGAACAGATTTATTGATATGCCATCCATCTTATAATAGTATTATCAGTATATACGGGAACACACTAATAACAAAAAGCTTTCGTATTTTTGTACAATTGCATGTTATCATGACAGAACAATAGCACCTGGCTGCCAATATTGCATTTGACAGACAGACGGCATTTGCTTACGACATGCATCAGAACATTAACAGGTTCCATAGAATGCATCTAAAATTGTTAACGCCTAGTATTTGGCAGCAGACAAAACTATTCCAGAATTCTGCCCACAGCCAATTTAAACGTTTACTAAATAATACAAATCTTTGCTTGGAAAATAATTTAAATTGTCGCACAACAAGAACAACAAAGGAAATCAACGCCGCATCATTAGACCCAGAGAATAGTGGTAAGTCTTCTCTCGATGTTGCGCTCTCGTGAGTAGAACTATTTTGAAGTGCAAAAAAAGCTTTTTTCGCGAACGATATCTGTTGAATGGATTTTGTTTTAGTATTTGTTGTCATTTCTTTAAGTAGGTATTATTTGTCCACGGGCGACAACACTTCTTGAAACTTCTACAGAACTAACTGGAAATAAATATCATCCTCTTTACCGCAGTTTCTATTTCGGCAAAAGACAATTTTCAACTAATTACAGTAAAATGGCTCCAGTTTTGGCACCAAAAGTAAAATTGAACAATGGTTACGAAATGCCTGTTTTGGGTTTGGGAACGTATGAGGTGAGTTGTGATTTTTTATATGTATATGATGTATTTGCATATTTGTTTATATAGACGCCTTTCAATGTTACATTTCATGAAAAATTTGTGGTTGATGTATTTTTAAATTTGCTTTTTAATTGTTTTCAATTCCTTTCAAAGCAAATGGAAATTATAGCGAAACCGGCAACAAGGCCTTGAGCGGCATTTTTTACTTATCAAATTTCCAGCGTTACCGTATTATGAAATTTCAATCAAAAACAGTGGTAGTATGCAAATCATGCAATGTTTACATTCGACATTTTATACCCCCCAACATAAGGTGATGTGTATATTAAATTTGTCATTCCGTTTGCAACATCGAAATATTCACCGGCGAATACTTAAAGTATATATATTCTCCATCAGAATAAAGTTCTATGTCGTTGAAATCACGATAGGGACGCAATATTTGAGATAGAGCTTTGTAAATGAGGTAGACCCCATATAATGGTAGCCCCAAATATTCGGTATTATGGGAATTTTTTACACATTTTTTAACGGAATTGACATACAGAATCAGCATAATTATAATTTTTTTTATTATTCCAAATATTTGCTAGTCGGCGTTCACATTGTGAGCAAATCACGCAAAATTTTGTTTGCTGTCAAATAATTTTGTTTGCCCAAAATCAGCTGTTTTTGTGTTTGCCATTGAAAATTGGTCTGTTCCCGTACTGCAAGAATCTATTAGTTTTTACTATTATGTTCGATATCATAAAGGAAAAATGTGTTATCGTAGCAAAAAGTAGTAGATTCTTGCAGTACGGGAACAAACCAAATATTTTGTGTTCAGATTATGGCAAAGAAATGTTTAGGTGTATCTGGTTACTTTTCCAGTAACATTTATTCAGTAAGTACTAGTTCAGAGAGTAAGCCATTTTTACTCTCTTTTGTGATAAAACTGAAAAAAGTAAACAGACAACATTTAGTAAGATTTAGCAAATAAACAGCTGATTCAAGAAAACATTTTGTTTGCGCCAAAATAAACAAACAAAGGACGAACAAAATTATTTTGTATTGCATTTAATATTAAAAATATAATGAACAATAAAAGAAAAATTGATTTGGTATGTTCCCCGGGAACATTTAAGCTTCCTGCATCAACACATTGCCCTCTTTCTGGAACATTCCTAAAAATATACTTTCTAATTTATTGAAACTTTGCATAACTTACGAATTTTCTTCCATTTTCTGTAATTTTTATACAACTTAACTTGAAATTGAACTTTTCAAATTAAAAAAATGTTTTGAATAATTTTTGTGTTTGGTCGTAAAACTGCTGATCCGAAATTGGCTGAGTTTGCGAAATCTTACTGCACAAAATTCTTTCAGTAAACTCCAGTAAGTTTGTTGTTGTTGAACGGTCAATTTTGCTCGCTCACTTGACTCTCTTTTACTGGATTTTTGGGTAAACAGACAACATTTAGTAACATTTGGTAACAATTGTTACCAAATATCGAGTAAACAGACAGAGCTATTATTCGGTATTTTGGCATTTTTAACCGAATTAGATCTAATATGATTTTTGAGGCTTTCAAGGGGTGTCAACTCTTCCTACTAAAAATGATCATTATTGTTTACATTTTTAGGAAATCCCCCATATCCGAATTTCGGTTTTTAGGGGAGTTTGAACAATTGCTCCTCATTGAGTACCAAAAATTATCAATATTGGTACACCCATCATTCGGAATTTTGGGAGGTTTTTGGCATGTTTTTAACCGAATTCGATCTAATTGGATTTATAAAATTTTTATGGGGTTTCAAATCTTCCTGCTAAAAATTATCGATATCAGTTTATGGTTTGGTATAGCTCCCATTCCTTTTTCCGTATTTTGTAGACTTTAGCCATATTTTCCAATCGATAATTTGGTATAAATGGTTCTGGAAGGCTGACAAATTCGTGTGGTGTACATGTAGGTCCAAGCTTTTATATTAATAAATTTAAGTGTCTGTAATTTAGAACCGTATTTTTTGGAGAATGAATAATCTACTACCACAAAAGGCCAAAACATAGTCCCCATATAAATGTCCCCATCGACTTAATCAATTTAAAATGTTCGACCCGGCCGAAGTTAACGACGTTCTTTCTTGTTTCCATTACCTAAAGTCAATTTACATAAGTTGAATAAAGCAGCTGAACTTAGATCTATAGATGGTACAATTTGTGAATTGTAATGAAATATAAGCCACTAAAAATAGTTGGCTACAAAACTCCTTTCAAAATAAAAATGAATGGGAGTGTTATAAGTAGCCTCAATTTTACTTTTTGCGTCTTGTCCTATTTTCTGTTACTGTACTGATCCATTGTGGATTCTATTAAGGTTTCTACCTCAATTCCATACAATAACTATAATAACTCCATCTCCTGCCTGCTTAACCGTTAAGTTTTAATATTTAGCACATGGGGTTCTTTATGAATGTGCTTGTACTGAAGGATAAATAAATTCAATTGTGTGATGAAATCCTGAAAAATGTTGTTTGGCTTTAGCGATTTTTTGTGTATGTTTCTGGAAGACTTGGACACCAATCCGCTTCATTAGATATTTAATATTTATTTAACTCTTGGCGGGATAAATTTAAGTTAATATTTTACTTGCACCTTTCAATGTTACGAGAACAAAGAATTTTAGTATGAATTCCAATTCAATTTTTATACTTAAAGCTGAAGAAATCTAAATGCGAAAATGCTGTACGTGAAGCTCTGAATATAGGTTATCGTCATATTGATACAGCATTTCTCTACCGAAATGAAAACATTATCGGACGTGTTCTAAAGGAGCACATTGAACAGAAACGTATTGAGCGTGAAGAGATATTTTTGGTTACCAAATTGTGGAATATTCACCATGAACCACATCGTGTAAAATATGCATGCCGTAAACAGATGGAAGCTTTATGTGTCGATTATATAGATTTGTATCTAATGCATTCGCCCATTGGATATAAATATGTGGATGACGAAGCATTAATGCCTCACGAGGATGACAAATTACAAACAAAGTATGTTTTGTATAGTTACCAAAGACTTGTGAAAAAATGTAATTTGTTCTTTAATTTCAAGTGATGTTGATTATGTTGAAACATACAAGGCCATGGAGGAATTAGTCAAAATCGGATGGGTGCGTAGTTTAGGATTATCCAATTTTAATATATCACAAATGCAAAGAATATTGGATAACTGTACAATAAAGCCTGTAA